CTTAAAAAAAAAAAAAAAAAGGAGTAAAAGTTGAAAACCAACCCACGCAGATAACCCTTCAAAGGGACTCCGCACGCAAGGCGGCCCTGCTGCTTCTGAGAGGTACGATCGGCAGACACCTGCTCCCCGCCTGGGGTGGGGAAGAAGGGGCAGGAGACTGGCTCACCAGCATTGCTGGCCAGGGCGGCGGGGCTGCGTCGTGGGTGTCCGTCCGGCCCTGGGCTTCGGTCCACAAGCTCGTCCAGACTGTCGTCATCCATCCCTGGACATTGGCGTTCGGCTCTGAAATGAATCAGAGTCGGAAAGTTCCCAACTGTCCCAGGGTGCAACGCCCCCTCCTGAAAGCCCGACAGTCACTCGGCACACAGCGTGACCCGTGACACGTTCGTCCGCAGGACAGGGAGGCCGAGCCACGAGAGAAAGCAACTTGAACTGCAAAGCTGTGCACTGGTAGGAGAGAAGACACTGATTCTCATCTACAGAGCAACAAAGTCAGATCTTAATTTACGACGAGCTAATTAAGCTTCAGTCTGGCACCTACAGCACCTCACCAGTCCCAAGGAATCCTGACGCCAGGCACGAACGCGATGGCTTATCATAAGCTGAGGCAGAGCAGGGATCTCAACCTAGCGGGGTAGGTGTCAGAAGGGTGTAGAGGGCTAACAGGACCCTCTCCCTGCACTCTCCTCCCCTGTCACTCTTGGCCAGCATTGGCCAGCCTGACCTCCGCACACCAGATCACCACCAGGGGCTGCATGTCAGCTGAGCTGCTCTGACCGCACCCCCCCACGGGACACAGAGGTCAGGCTCACCTCTCAGACACCATGGCCACTTTGCTCTTGGGCTCCTGATGTCCGGGGCGGGGGTGGGGGGACACCTGTCCTGCCTCCTGTGTCCTGTGACTGCAAGGACAACACAGAAGACCGAGATAGATGACCTCACACGTGTAGCAAAACACATCTACCTCCACTGCCAGACCTCCAACTTTTGACCCCAAATAAGGGCTCCTTTCTCAACAATGCTACTCACTTCATTTCCCAGGTGACTCTCAGAGGAAACACTTCCCACAAGGAGTCCCTCAGTTACTTACAAAGCCAGGACGAAGAAAACCCTCCCTGGGGTATGGTGTGCTTCAGGCCAAGTCCACTCTCCATGGTCAGAGAAAAGCGGTCACACAAAAGACCAGAAGGCAGAGGGGCAAAGCAAGAACTGGGAAGGAGGCCCGACCAGATAAGGCTTCTTCGTGGATCCCACACGCAGGCTTCCTCCCCCATGGGCCACGTGCCAGCACCAAGAGCTTCACGTGGCAATCAGAGAGGGGCTTATCACCACCACCTCTGGACAGATGCTCCCGGGGAATAATCCCCTGGTGGGGCTAAGGCCAGATTCAGACTCTGGAGAGCCTAACTTCCCTTCAAAGCCCCCAATTCTAAATTAGTGAGGGCATGTTAATTTGATGAAATTACGAACTGCCTCCTGCTATTCCTACCTGGAAACGGTCCACTCAGAGCTGGTTCTATACAATTATTCACCCCCTAAAGCCACCACCTTTCCTCTACTTAGTGTTCTAAGGTTGAGAACACGAGCCACGGCCCCACTCAACTAAGGGTCTGCACCCTCACTGTTTGGTGACTCAGCAACGCGCAGGGACCCAGCTGTCCCGCAACTCCCGGCCATGACTCCTGCTGGAGGCATACAGACCTCAAGATACGACAGGGCCACAGCCCTTCTAGGAGGATGACACCTCTCCTGTGGGGTCAGGGAAGAGGGCCTGGAACATTCTGGCCTGTGTCATCACCATTCCCACAACTGGACTCCACAAGGTCATCCCGGGACACCTACTCCAATGCCTACCCTGCTCCTAAAGAGTGCAGCAAACTTCCTGTCCTGCAGGGAGGGAAATACCTTTTTGCAAGTTGGCCCCCAAAAAACATGGGTTTGAACTGCACAGGTCCACTTGCACGTGCAAAGGTTTTGGGTAAATACAGTACTATAAACGTGTTTTCCTTCCTTATGACTTTCTTGGTAGTATTTTTCCCTTCAGCTCACTGTATTAAAAGAAACACGTGTTCAACAACTGCTTATGTCATGGGTAAGGCTTCCATTCAACAGGACGCCGTCAGCAACAGTGTTCAGAGGGACTCGAAAGTTACGCATGGGTTATCCACTGCACTGGGACTGCCGCCCCAACCCTGTGCTGTTCACGTGTTCGCTGTACCAACACACAGAACCAGGGAACGCTTCCCACACCAGAAAACGTAACCCCTGAGGCCACCTAAGAGATGACAGAGCACAGCCGAGGGCAGGTTCTGGGGTGCAAATTCTTTCCCTGATGATGTGTTACACAAGCACAAGGTCAAAAGTCTGAACAAACAGCCCCTGGCTTCTCCCCTGGTGCACCAAGACCCAGGTCCACCGGTAACGGGCAGTGGCAGGGCCTGCCTCAGAGGGCTGTCGGAAGAGGTCAGCAAGGCCACGACTGGGTTTGGGATACAGGGGCTTGCCAGAAATACCCACTCAGGAATGGGGTTGAACTCCACCGTCCCTGCACCTACGGGGTTAAGGCCCATGGGTCCTGTGCTCCTCCACCACAGCTGTGAGGGCAGCAGGAGAGTGTCAGCTACTGAGGCCGTCTGTTCTAACATCATCACGTGACAGTTAACTGCTGGGAAAAACCCAGGCAGCTGCTGAAAGTACTTCCCAGAGTAAGCACCTGTGCAAATACCGAGGAGGCGGCCACCAGAGACCCTAGCAGCCCTTTCCCTGTCGGGAACACGGTGGTCAGAGCTGTGTGTCCATGGGGGCCCCACCAGCAGCCCCGGCTCAGAGGCGCCTGTCCATGCTCACCATCCCTACCCCAGCCGGCCGGCATGCTCCAGGCCACAGGCAATGCTGGCGGTACTCTGGGGCTCTCCTCTCTGCTCTAGATTTAGGGAGCTGAGAGGAAACACTTTTTCTCTTTTCAAATGCAAGGACCCCAAGCACCTACGATTCCGACCATTACGAAGGAACCCAAAGAACTTCTGGTGGTAACCGGCCCCCGTGCCAGGCCCTGAGCAAGCATGCCAGGTCCAACAACTCACACCCCGCCAGGGCTGTCGTTCTTGACTCCACGTCTGCCACGAAGGACAGGAGACCTGAAAACTGAAACTGCAATGGAAGTGAAAAAGCAGGGCCAAGGAGGTGTGTGCAGGGCTGACCCGGACACCAAGCGTCCATTCGGGGGGAGGGGGGGCCTGCAGAGAAGCCCAAAGCTGAGCTCGCCCTGGTGGAGCCCTGCCACTGGCCTGGTGCAGAAACCGCACCAGAAGGGGCCAGCCGCTGTTACTCTGACTCGATACTCTCCCGTGAACAAACCCTCCGGAGGTCCTGGGAGGCCTCGCTTGAGCCTCAGGGTCCAGCCACACGAGCCCTGGCTAGAAAGAGGCTCCCAGGCCGACTACCACTTGCTCGGAGAAACGACGACAGCACGTAACCTCCGCGACCGACAAGGCGTAACCCGGCGCTGCTAAAAAACAGCGCGGAGCAGGGGCCGGAGGCTGTGCGCTCGGCAGCTGCGCGCCCGGGGCAAGTCGCGCACCCCTCACGCGCGGAGCAGGAAGGACAATACCTACTCCCGCGGCTCGCTGGGAGGACGACGCGAGCTAACAGGAAACCATCCCGCCGGCCGCTCGGGCTGCCCAGACGCAGACGAAGCCGCCGGCTGCAGGGGCCACCAGGAGCTGGAAACGAGTCGGCACAGGGTCACGCCTCGCTCACACCGGGCACGGCTGGGGGGGTTCCCACGGGACGAGGCGGGTGCGCCCCCCGCGACTGTGGACAGAAGGCGGCGACCCCAGAAACCCGCGTGCGGGCCGAAGGGGCTCCCGGCCTGGGCGCCGGCCCTCCCCGCCCGCCCTCCCGGGGCCAGCGCAGCGCAGGCCTCGCCCTGCGAGGCAGGCCGCAGACAAAGCGCGCGGCGCTCGGGGACGGCCCTCGCGCCCGGGCGCGGCCGGGACCCCCAGGCCGCCGCGGGCCCCGCCCGTACCCGAGACCCTTGCGTCCCTCCGCCGCTCCCGGGCGCTCGCCGCGCCGCCCGAGCGCCGGCCTCGACTAGGCCGCCGCCACCGCCGCCACAGCCGCCGCCGTCTCCGCGCGCTCCCCGACCCGGAAGTGCACGGAGCCGGCTTCCGGGCCTCCCGCCTCGCCCCGCCCATTGGAGGGGACCATTGGAACAAGGGGGGGAAGAAGAGCCTGGAGGGGCGGAAGCCGCCACTCGCCGCGGCCGAAGGCCTCGAGGCTTCGCAGACACTGCTTAATGCTGGCTCGCCGCCCAGGAAGACCAGTGTCTGGAGGAGCTTGTAGGGTCTAGGCCTCCGCCGGTAGGCTGTTCCGTGTCAGCCCTCCCCCTCCGGGACTTGGTACAGTCCTAGCCCCCGCCCTCCGCCCAGGGCGAATGGCTGCGGCCGTCCGGCACACCTGAGACCCCGCCCCCAGGCTTGGCCCCGCCCCACGCCCGTGAACACGCTCCCACCCTGCTGCCCCGCCCCCACGCGGCGGCCCGGCCCTCCAGGCGTTGGTCACGCCCGCAGCCCGCGTTGCTCTGGCCACCGCTGCCCCGTGGCGCTCCGGCGACTAGCAGCTTCGCGCCCTGCAGTCGCTCCTGGACCAAACACTGACGGAGTCCTGTGTGGGCGGGCTCCTCCAGGTGCCGGGCACAGCGGGAGGAGACCCCAGCCCCGCGCCCCGTCTGCTTCAGACGCCGGAAACCACCAGCGCTGTCGGTCAGCGCACCGCGTGGTGTGTGGCTAGCTGACCCGTGCTGGGATGAAAGATAAAGCAGGGTCGGGTCCGGGGCTCAGGAGCCTGGGAGGACTGGCCAGTGTTAGGCGGTGAGGATGGATCTGGCAGTGACGGGGGTGGCGAGAGCCCTGAGAAGCCGCTGCCGGACGTCGGAAAGGAGGCCAAGCCGGGATGGCCCGGCCCAGTGCGGGAAGTGGCCCGAGGCGCTAGGGGCTCTGGTGGATCTGGAGCTGGATGACACGTGCTGGCTTGCCGTCTCCCGGGGGCGGGGCAGCAAGGTGGGGGAAAGACTAGAGCAGTGAGGGCAGACACAGGGGCACCCCAGATCGGGAACCACCATGGCCTGGGCTGGGCTGCGTGCAAGAAACTCCTGGTAGATTCTGAAGAAAGGGGATTTGCGAAGTAAACAGGAAGGCAACCTGGAAGTCAGGCAAGGAAGGACATGTGGGCACCTTCTGTACATACCCACTGTCCAACTGTCACCTCCAGGCCACACTGACTAGCCACCCACCTGCCACCTCTCACATGCTAGATCCAAGCAAGGACACAACATGTGTACCCTGCCCCATGCCCCTCATAGACCTGCACTCTATACTCCCTGCTGGGTTTGGGGTGGTGCTTTGTGCACCCTGTTCTCCCGCCCACCCCAGCCCAGGCAGGAACAGACACGAGATGCACACTGCTCTCCAGTACAGGAGGGCGCAACAGGACTGGAAGCTACCTTGGTTCTATCCAGCCCCCACCAGCTCTTTCCCCTGCCATCAGGCCTGCACGCAAACAGGGCCAGAGTGGGGGGAGCCAGGTGCGGCTGTGTTCCCTGACTTGGGAAGGCAGGCTTGTTAGCGTCCCAGGCCTCCCTTAACCAGTGACCACAGACTGGGTAGCTTAAAACAACAGACGATTTTCTCACAGTCCCAGAAGTTACAGATCTGAAATCCAAGGGAGCTCTGCTCCGGGGACATCTGTAGGAAACCCTTTCCTGCCCCTTCCAGTTTGTGGTGCTCCAGGTTTCCTTGGCTTGTGGCCACATCACCCCAAAGTTTGCCTCTGTCTTTACATGGCCCTCCTCTCATCTGTCTCTTATAAGTACACTTGTCGTTGGACTTAGGGCCCACCCAGTGAAACCAGAATGATTTTATCTCAAGACCCTTAATTATGGCTGCAGAGACCCTTTCCCCAAGTAACCTAATGTTCCCAGGGTCTAGACATTTGGATATAGACATCTTTTTGAGGGGACACTATTCAACCCACTACAGAGGGTGATAAGGGATGCATTTGGAACCTGCAGGACTGGGGGACACAGCTGGAGGTCATACTAGTAACACTAAGACAGGAACTCAGAGTCACCCTGACTTCTGGCTTCTGTCCCCCAACTCCAGACTTCTTTCCTCCAAACCTCTACCCTGTCCTGAAGGTGTGGGCCTTCTCAGGGGTCCTGCATATTCCTAGTGTTCCTTCCAGACCAAGGTATCTGGGCTTCGCTGACCCCTGCCCTGATGAGCACCAGTAGAACTGAGCCCGCTCCTGGCTCCTCTGTGCTCTTTCCCCACCCATAGGCAGCCACACTCACAACATCCTGGCCTTGGGTTTCTATCCCCAAGCTTCAGGCTCCGATGTCCCAGCCCTCTGCACTTAGCCACTCAGGCAATGGTTTTAAGGAAGAAATGAAATGAGTGTGGTGATGGGAAGGGTGCAGCAGGATCTGTGCTGGGGCTGTGGCACCTGGGGGGCTCCACGCCCCACACAGGTAGGATGCCGGGAGGTCACTGGAGGAAGGGAGAACCAGGAACAGGTGGTGTATGGCCACAGGTGAACCACGAGGGACAGGGGTGGCTGAGGCTGAACCCCTGGGCCGTGAAGAGCCGAGGACTCCTTTGAAGCTGGCTGGAACCAGGTGAGTGGGGTCCTCTAGGGAGGGCCAGTGTTGAGGCAGATGCGGGAGACTGAGTTAGGTAAGGGAAAGTGGGGAGCCCTGGCTCACTTTGGAAGAGCGCAGAGGGCTTGTGAGGACTCCTGTGTCAGGAACAAAAGGAGAGCAAGGGTCTTTACCCCATTGGGGGTCCGCATGACCCCTGGTTCTGCCTCCGGGGTCCCCTTGGCTGTGGAGGCGGGGAGGAGAATGTGAGGGGAAGGGGGTCAGGGCCAAATCTCCCTTGGCTGCTACCTTAAGGCATCACCAAGGAGTCAATAACTCCAGGTCTGAAACAGTCTGTTCTCACGCTTTATACTTTTTCAAAGCCCAGACAGGACGGGGCAAAGCACCGACGGCCCTGCGCCCCGCGCCGTGTCCCCTCCGCACTCAGATTCCGAGCCTTCCAAGGTGACGGATTCCACCGGGGTACCGTGGAGCCCCGGCCCGCCAGCCACAGCGCTCCGCGGGCAGCGCGGGCCCCATGTGCGTCCGGAGGGCGCGGCCGGGCTACGTGCACCCCAACCCCGCGCGTTCCCGGGAGCTGCGGGCCCACCGCGAGGGTGGGAAGAGCGCCTCGGGCGGTACCACCCGCCCCGCCGGCGGGGGAGCCGCCCCGCGCGACAGCAGCGCGGCGCCCGCAGGCCCCGCCCGGCAGGTGGCGGCCCCGCCCCGAGGCCGACGTGCGGAAAGGAACGCGCCGGCCGCGCCCGCGAGGGGCCGCGCGGCGGTGGGCGTGGCGGCCCGCCCCCACCTCGCGCCGACTGGCCGGGACGCAGCAGGGCGGGCCCGGCCCGGCTGGCCATTGGCCGCGAGACTCGCGTATTTGCATACGGGCTGGGGGCGGGACGCGGGCCAGGCGCTGGGTGCAGGGAGGTCGGGGGGCGGTCGGGGGCCGGTCGGGGGCGCTGGGGCCCGCGGCCGCCGCCGAATTTGGGCTGAGAGCCGGCGACGGCCCCGCGCCGCGGTTGCAGGTGACGCGCGAGGGGTCCCAGACCGGCGGGCGGGGGCTCGGGCAGGGCTGGTGCGGTGGGGCTCGGACGCACAAGTTGGAGAGCAAGGAGGGGTCAGGGGTGGGACGGCCCTTCTGTGCACCCGGTGGTCTCTCCAGGCGCAGGGCAGCCACTGCCCACCGCACACTGCGCTGCTCCGGACCCACTGTGCGTGTGACAGCGGCTGATCTGTCCCTGGGCAGCGCGACCGCCCCGGCCCTTCTGTGACCCTGGTGTGTCGGGCAGGGGACGGCCAGACCAGGTGGGAGGACGAACACCAAGGCGGGGAGCGGGCGCCCCTTTGTCGGCGCTCAGCAGCGGGGTGGGGAGGAAGGGGAAACACCGTGGGGCTTCACAGCCCTCCACACGAGGGGGCTCAGATTGGGCCAGATGCGCCTTTGGAGGGAACTTTCCTTGTGTGTCTCAGGTGCCAGGACCTGCAGAGTTGCTCGATGGTCTTCTGAATGTCGCCAAGCTGAAACAGGTGTTCTGGTCAGACCCTTGGCCCTCAGGTCCAGGACCGGACCCCCTACTACCTGCCTCTTGAGGGCCACCACTGGGAACTCAAGGAAGATGGTGACAGATTTGGCTTTTCTGCATATTTCTCCCACTCAGCAAGAATGCCAAGGACCCACTTGTGCCCAGCGGTGTGCCCTCCTGGAGGTGGGGGCACCCGGCCGAGCTCCCAGCCTGTCTGCCGCTGGGTCTGCTTTCTCTGCTGGGGTTCTTTTTTTTTTTTAAATTTTATTTTATTTTATTTATTTGACAGAGAGATCACAAGTAGAGAGGCAGGCAGAGAGAGAGGGAAGCAGGCTCCCTGCTGAGCAGAGAGCCCGATGTGGGGCTCCATCCCAGGACCCTGAGATCATGACCTGAGCCGAAGGCAGAGGCTTAACCCACTGAGCCACCCAGGCGCCCCTCTGCTGGGGTTCTCAACCCACTGTGAAGATCTGCTGGTCGAGAGCATGTCCTGAGCAGCCTCCAGGCATGCAAGGGCCAGGATGCCTGCCGCAGGCCCTGTCTCCTCCCCAGATTGGCGGGCGTTGATGGCTGGCACTGGGTCTGCAGTTGTCAGAGCAGCGTGAGGGACAGGCAGCCTGAGTTGAGGCCTTACATGGACTTGGACTCACCTTTGGAGGGACACTGTCGTAAAGGTCACTGTGGTGCCCTGAGGGTCACACCCAGCAGGTTTGTCAGGACAGGTTCTGCAGGCGACAGGGGGGTTGTGGGTGGCCCTTGGGGTTGAGAACCAATGGTGCCAGTTGCCTGCCACAAGGCAGTGACTTGCTGTGGGTGACCCCAGGGAGCCCCAGTGTTCCAGCCAGCCCACAAGAGTACTTTTGTACTAGAGGTGAGCAGGAGGGGCTCCAGTGCCATCCCCCAGCACAGTCTGGCCCTACAGAGACATTGATGATGACTGGGTCCTGTCTCACCTTGGCCAGGGAACTGGGCTGACCTGGCTTGGTCCTGCCCTGCCATGGCCTGGATGTGTGTGTCTGGTGGGAGTGGGGAGTTGGGTCTCCTTGGCTCAGCATAGCTCACACCATTGTTTTCAAACTGCATCTTACAGCTCCAAAGTAAACTTCTCAACAGCCCCAGCGTTGGCTTACTGATTTGAAGCACTTCTGGCCACTTTTGGGGGATATGGGATTTTGTCCACCTGGAACAGTCACAGAGGTGGAAGGTTCTGCCCCCTTCCCCACCCCAGAGCACACTGGCTACCTGAGGACCCTTCCCAGGTGAAGAGGGCTCATCAGCTTCTCAGCCAGCAGCAGACCGGGGACAGGCCCCTGGCGATGTCTTCAGAAGGAACAGGTGTTCCTTGGAAACAGACACAGGTGACCAGGGGTGTGCAAGCTCTGCCAGTACCAGGACTGCTTCCCTTTGGGGTGTGGGAGAGCACATGACACTGGGAGGGAGTGGACTCATTCCCAGTCTGCACCTGGCTTTGCCCTGTGCTGGCCAGTGTGCTCAGCTTGGGAGAGGACCCTGTGCTGGTGCTCAGGGCAGGTGCTCAGAGGAACATCTAGCCCTCCTGAGTACAGGTGAGGGCTGTGGGTGGGGAGAGCAGGCTTCTTTGACCTGGTGGTGACTGCCCGCTGCCCACAGCTCCAGCCCTCCCACCCAGGACACAACATGATCGGCATTTGCATTCCAGACTATAGCCGTGTGACTGTGCACTCAGCCCTGTCTCCAGTGGGTGGCTGTGCGATAGACCGTGGGCTCAGGTGGGAGTGTAGGTAGGAGCTATGTAGGGCTGGGGGCTTTAGAGTGAGGAGCCTGGGCCAGAAGTCCCCTGCTGCTGCTGTCCAGTCATCAGTCCCTGCCCTGTTCCACCTTGGGCAGGAAGTATCCAGTCCACTTTAATCCCCTCCCCCACAGCTGCTCTTGGTGACTTCCACGCTCCTGTACTCAGGACTTTTTGTCTCCTATGGTCAGCCCCAGAAGAAGAGGAGAACACCAGGCTGAGCTCGGGGGCCACTCCAGAAGGCTGAGTCCATCCAAAAGTTGCTGACCCCCAGCTTCAACACAGAGACTCCCATCATCTAGGATGTCTCCATCTCCTGTTCCCCAGTATGTGTGGCTGCACCAAGCCCCTGTGTTCTGACCATCACAGAGGGCTCCAGTGCCAGCCACAGTGCTCACAGGTGGGGCCTGCAGCCCATCCCAGGCCCAGCACTGTGATCACTGCCCTAATTTGGAGCCTGCACACTGACCTGGGAAGCAGAGGGGGCCTGTTGGAAGGCTGGGCAGCCACACACTTATGGGGCCAACAGAGCTCCTCTGGGCAGAGCTCCTGGGTTCTGGCAGGAGTCTGGGGACCTGCCCCCACAGGCTCTCCATAAACTTCAATAAACCTGATAGGCAGGTCTGGCACGTCCCTGAGTCCTCTTGTCCAGGAACCATCTCCATGCGGTGGCAGCTCCTGCTACTGGTGAGGAGTAGGTCAGAGGAGGGGAGCCAGTCAGGAGAGGGCCCACACAGACACCCAGACCAGGCCTGAAGCTGCTCTAAGGCCCTATACTGTGCAACTCTCAGTCCAGGCTTGGGCTGCGAAGGAGAGCCCCTGGGTGGGGATGGGCACAGCAGCTAGAAATGTGAGGCCCTACAAGCCCCAGTTTGGGGCCCAACTGACCACTGGTCCCTGGGAGACCCCTTTCTCAAGAGCCCTGGTCGTGGCCAGCCCCAAGTAGCTTGGGGAACTCCCCAGTGACCCTGGCTGGTCTCAAGCTTTAGGGCCCACAGACCCTGTCCGGTACAGCTTCAGGACGCACTGAAGCCATTCTGGGCAGTTTATTGAGGTTTTAGGGTTGGGGTAGGGAAGGTGGCATGCCCATGTGTGTACGCAGGCTCAAAGAAGGCTACCTCCCACACACAAGCACACACCCACAGCTGAGCAGTGTCCACACGTCTCCCATCCCCCACAAGGAGCCGTGATCTTCGGGGTGTAGCACATTCTGAGCTGGTCATGCCTCCTGCCTGTCCAGGCGTCTTGGCAGACTCCCTCCACCCCCACACGGCGGAAAGCCCGGGGCCCTGAGGTGCTCTGTCTCAGGCCCAGGGCACCAGGGCTTCCCACTGCATGGGGGAACGACTCCTCTGCAACTACCAGCTCTCCTGTCATCCAGGTCAGGCTGGCCTTGGCTGCCCTTGCTCGTTGTGTCACGGGAGCCCGGGGCCAGGCTGGCAGTGGACGTCCATTTTGGGGCCAGAGCTGCTACCTCCAGGAGTTCTGCCTCATTGGGGCAACTGTGGGGAGGGGACAGGCTGAGGGCACTGAGGAGGACAGGAAGGCCCTGTCCCACCCGAAGTGGGGAAGACAGACGTACTCTCTGGGCTCAGGCTGGACACTAGAGCAGGATTCTGAGGGGTTCTCGTGAGGGGCTCTTCTCTGGCCGGAGGCAGAAGATCCTGTGGGGAGAGTAGGTCAGCTTGGAGCTGGGCCAGGCCTCCCACGCCCCTGGGCTCCCTCTGGAACCACTCTGACCTGTGTGCTGAGGGGGCCTCTGTCTGGCCGCGGGGCTGGTGGCAGTGCAGCCCCCGTCTGCTGGATGAACTCCTGCAGGTTGCACTGGCGCAGCTCTCGGTTCAGCTCCTCAAGTTCCTGGGCTTGGGCCTGGGGCACATGGGGCCCTCAGGGGACGCAGCCACAGGGCTCCATGGCCTCGCGCTCTCCTTGGCCTGACCCAGAGGCCAGTCCCCAAATCCGCTCGCACTGGGGCCACTGGCAGGGGCTCGGGGGCCTGCGGGCTCACCTGTAGGGCGTGCTCGGCTGCCTGCAGGGCCCTGCTCACCAGGGCCAGGCTGCCCTGCACTTCTGCGCTCTGCCGCTCCTGGGCAGCCAGGTCCTGGCGCAGGCGTTCTGCTGCAGATGCTGTGGGTGAGGGGGGCCCGGGGGCCTCTGAGGCCAGATGGAGCTCCGCCTCCAGGGCACGGGCCTGGGCATCCAGGGCCTGTAGCCGGGCAGCGTGCTCCGCGGTGGCTGCGCTCAGGGCCTGCAGGCGTGCCTGCCCCTCTCGCTCCCGAGCCTGCTCCCGCCGCAGCTCCTGCTCCCAGAAGGCCTCCTGACCCAGCTCCGCTGCGTTCCTCCGCACCCTGAGCTCCAGGCCCTGCAGGTCTACACTGGAGCCTGGGACTGGTGCTACCGGGGCCACAGGGTCAGGTGGTGCAGGGCTGGGGGTCAGTCCGGGGCACCCGAGGCTGAAGGTCCATGCTTTGCGCTGCTCATGGCCCAGGGCTGGCCGTGGCTTCGAAGGGAGGCTGGCACGGACCGGGCAGCGCTCAGGAGGTGGGCAGCTGTCTGAGGAGGGCCTCCCAGCAAGGCTGGGCCCTGTCCGCCTCAGGACAAACTGGACATCACTGGCAAACTGCCCACAGGTGGCCTGGGCACCCACTGGACACTCTTGGGGCAGCAGCTGCCGTTCCTTTTCCCTGAGACGCTGCACGAGCACAAAGCGGCCCGTCTGGCCTGGGGTAGGAGGACACAGGTCAGCCTATGTGCCCCCACCACCCCACCCTCCATCCACTTGGCTTGAGAAATTAGGAGAGGGCAAGAGGGATCAGCAGCCAGCCCCAGCCTTGGTGGGGAAGGGGACGGAGGATCTGGCCCCACCTCAGGTGCACCTGTTGGGCTATCTGTGCCCGAAAGGACTCACCTATTGCTTGGGCTAGTGCGAAGACTACTTCCTGACAGGTGGTTTGCTCTGAGACCCCACAGACCACGCGCTGTATGCCGTCCACCCACACCTTCAGCTCCATCGCTGCTAGCCCAGACAGCATCCCTGTCCTGCAGGGAGGACAAAGGCCAGAGAGTCAGGCCCTGCCTGGCCCTACCACCGCCCGGCTTCTCCTCTCCTCACCCCCCAGAAGTTGTTCAGGGCTACTGTGCGCCCCCCACCTTATGTCAGTCCTGCCCTCCTATAGCCTAGCCCCACACGCAGGTCATACACTGCGGGGGTGGAGGCACGACCAGCCCCCCCAAGGGGTAACCAGTGTGCCCTCCGGGAGCACTCTGAAGCTTCCCCACTGCCCAGCCTCCTCTTGCCCCGCCCCACTCCCCGGAACCAGGCGAATCATTAACCAGATCCAGCACTTCCTGCCTCCCCAGGCACCTGGCTCGAAGGGCACTGCCCCTCCCACGGGACGCCGAGCTCGGTCACCCAAGGGCGCCCTCACGAAAACACGGCTTCCCGCTGCCATGGGAACGCCCCTTCCCCGCCACTCCGACCTCGGCCCTCCGGAGACACGGAACCGCGCCGGGGCGGCCCTCGCCGGGGCGGACAGCGCCCTGGCCGCTCCCTCCGCCGCTGCGCTCGCCCCCCACCCCCGGCCGCAGTCGCCGCCGCGGGGCCGCTGCAGGTGCGGCGCGGCCCCCACGGCGGCCCAGCCCGCGTCCCTCCGTCGGAGTTGCCGCCCGAGGCCGCGCCCCGCACGCAGGAGGACCCCGGCCCCTGCGCGGCTCACCTGGGCGCTCGCTGGCCTCCGGGACCCAGACTCGAACTGGCTGCTTCCCCGAGTCCGGCGCCGCCGCAACCTGCCGCCTCCAGCGCCGCGGGCGAGCCCCGGCTCGCCACTCCATTGGCCCGCAGCCCGAGGGCCCCGCCCCCCGCTCTCCTATTGGCTTCCAGGGTCGCACCGCCCGCCCTGAGCCAACGCCCATTGGCCACCCCGCCAGCGCCCCGCCCCTCCCATTGGCTCCCCGCCCGCCCCGCCCCCGGCGGCGCCCAGGTGTGGGCGGAGCTCGGCGGCGCGGAGGGGCGGGCCGGGCCTCGTCCACGCACGCCTGAAGACCGCGAGCGCCGCGGAAGCGCTCCCGGCCGGCTGGCGGCGCGCGGCACAGGTGTCTGGCTCCGCTTCCGGGCCCGCTTCCTCGGAAGCCTCCCGGTCCCATGCGTCTCCTGCCGAGGGAGGGGGCACCGGCCTGGGACCCCGCGGTCTCTGCCCGTAGAGGGGCGGGCGCGGCCCGCAAGGCCCGCAAGGCCGCCCCCGCCCCCAGACCCGGCTCCGTCCCGAGGGCGGGGGCGCTGCGGGAGCGGGGTGGCAGGCGCGGGCCCTCCCTGGCTCCCGCCAGCCCGGCGGTCCTGATGGGGGAGAAGGCTGCTCTGAAGCTGCTGGGGACAGAGCAAGACAAAGACCCTGAGCTCTTTGCCCGCACCCCTCCCTGCCCCCAGTGGGGCCCGGCGCCCCCGCGACTTGTGGACACGTGGGCACCCTGAGCCTGAGAACCTCAGCCAGCCCAGCAGCCAGGGTCCCTCACAGCCTCCGTGCTGTCTGTGGATCGGGCGTTGGGAGCCTGCTCTGCCTCCTCACAATGGGCCATGGGGGGTCCTCCCCAGCTCAGGAAGTCCCAGGGAAAAGCAGAGTTGAGGAGCTTAAGGAATGAGGTGAAGGCTGGAGGACATTGGCCTGTGTGTCGGATCTGGTGCCTCACTTGTGTTCTGGGGCAGAGGGAACTGTTGTCATAGTTCTGAGGCTGTCCCCAGGGCTCCCCAAGGTGGGAGATGGACTGGAGAAGGACAGGCTTCTGACTTGGGGTTTAGGTAGGTGGGCGTCAGCCTCTGAGTGGGAAGATGCTGTGGGAAGCACTTGGGGGGCTCACTGATGGATAGAGTCCGGTAAGCCTCCATACACCGGGCAGCTGTGCCCCCAGTACCTGCCTGCTGCCACAGTGATGGTGAGGAGGGACTGTGGCAGCCTCCCCAAGGTTGGCTGGGGTGGCAGACTGAGTGTGTGACTGTCTGTGAGTCTTTGAGCATGGCAGGGCCTGCTCGTTGCTCCATGGTCCCCTGAGCCCGCGAAGGCCACCTGGGCAACAACCCAGCCTTTTAGTTTCTCCTTCAGGCTGGGTTGGGAGGTGGGCCCAAAGCTCACTAAGGGCCCTGGTCTGGGGTTTCCCTGGAAGCTCCTGGTAACAAACAGCCCCTCCCCTTCTGGGTGCTGGTATCCATGGCAACACTCTAGAGCCTTTCTTTCCCTAGGCCCGCTTGGATTTCAGGCCTCAGGTGAGTGTTTGGGGTCAGGCCCTGGGCCTGGGGGCATCACAGGCAAAGGACCAGTCCCTCTGGGGACTCTTGCTCTAGGTTGAGGGACAGGACTTCAGGTCCTAGAAGGCAGGGGTGATGGGGGATGACAACAGGAAATGTCCATTCAGGTGACATGTTGCCTGGGGGTGACCTGCTGCCTTGTCTCGGTCAGAAATATACAGATGTGGGCACACGTGTGACCAGCAGTCTAGTGTCCTGTGGGGTACGTGCACACACGCACACACACGCAGACCTGTTTGGAGTGGTGCTGTCTAGGGCTGTCAGACGTACGCACACACTCATGGCCTTGTAAGGAGAGCCCCGCAGGGGTAGCCACACATACGGCACAAGGATGACAGCCATACCATCCCTCGCAGCTCCCCCAGCAACACCGAGAATGGCGCCCGAGTCTTGCCGAGGGGATGAAGAAGCCGAGAAAAAGGCTCCCTTATCCCAGGTGGACCAAGAGCTGGTCAGCGCCTACCTGGAGCCTCCTGTGGGTGCACCTCCGGAGCCGGGGGGTCCCACATGTGCACAGGACGCCAAGCCCAGCTCTACACAGGGGGTCTTCTCCGTCAACCTACAGTAAGGAAGGGAGGGATGGGTGGCCAGACACTTGGGCCTGGCCAGCTAGGGGGCAGGGCCTGATCACTGCCATTGCAGGTTGGCCCCTGAGTCTCTGGACACTCGCACCTTGCGGCTACTGTGGGGCCAACGGGAGCTGGAGATCCAGGCTCTGCGGTGGGCCGTCCAGAACCGCCAGGATGCCCGGCACTGCCACGTCCTGCGTGAGGTGGCTGGGCTTCCACCTGAGAGGTGACCAGCAAAGTGCTAGTCCCCCAGCCCAACCCCGCCTCTGTCCTGGCCCAAACTGGTTTTCGTCTGACCCCCATCCCCAACCACCCGTCCTGACTGACACTGCAACTTCTTACTCTGGGCCTAAGCCTCATTTGAAGCCTGACCCTCTACCCTGACTCCGAACACACTGAGAGTTGCCGCATCTAGACCTCACCCGCAGCCCAGACCTCTCAGAGCCAGACTGGGTCTGGCTCACCGGAACCCTGTGCCTTTGGGCCCCCAGTGTCAAGGAAGAGGGGCCCCCCTCCCTTCCTTGGCTGCTGACCTAGAGGCGGGGGCTGCTACGATTGCCCCTTCCCCCAGGAGTGCACGTAATCAGGAAAAGTTCCTGCAAAATCAGGTCCAAAAGCTGACTGTGGACTTGAAAAAGCAGAAGGAACAGGCCCAGCTGGTGAGGGGCAGGAGGGACCAGGGAGTCGGGGAGGGGACCCAAGCTGGGGTGAGGGGCAGGGCCCAGGTAGGGGTTGGCCTTGGGGGGTCAGCAGCTGGAGAAGACCCTGCGCACCTATGCACCCTCTGGGAGCAGGAGAAGTCCCAGCTGGAGGAGCGTCTGCTGCAGGCCGCGACCACCATGCAGCAGCTAGAGGCTGAGCTGCAGGCCTTCCAGAAGTCCTGCCTCCTGCAGCTGGCCCGCTCCTCCTGGGTGGGGCGCATACTACGCTCCTCCACCGGCAGTGTGGAGGTAAGCCCCGCTCGGCCCACCCGCTCGCCTCCTGTGCTCCCCTTCCCAACCCTCCTTGGACGTTCCCTGGGTAGCCATTGTCTCTCCTCTGGGTCCTTTGGTGGGGCTGGCCTGCCTGGGAAGCCTGTCTCCCCTCAGGACCACGGGGCAGGGAGGAACCCCCTGGTTCCACACACCTGACTCACTGTGAACCTGTGCCTAGCGAGGTCAAAGGAGAGCGCCTCTCTCCCCCAGCCCCTGCCCACTGGTCTCCGCTCCCCCTGTGCAGGTGGTCACTGCAGAAACCCTGATGGACTTCAGCGACGTCTCTGAGAGTGAACAGGGCCCCTCCACTGGGGAGGTAAGACAGGTGAGCAAGGTCCCCCATGTGCTCTCATAGCCGGCAGCCCTGTGGGAGTGGAGGGCCACGTGCCTGTTGCTTCCTGACCAGGGTTTCCGGCTGGAGGACGTGGACTGGAACAGCATTGCCCAGCGGTATCCCAACCTCTTCAGCAACATGGAGTCCAGCTCAGACCCGAAGTAACTGCTCCTTGTGCACTCCTCCAGGGCTGCGGGGTGGGGGGTGGGGAGAGCCTTGGCATATGTGGACCAGAGTCCAAGTTCTACCCTTAGTGTCCGTGGACAAGTCACTTTTACCTTCCAAGGTCAGCTCTCCCATCTGTAGGACGGGGTTCACAGTGAGGGGAAAGGGCTCCTCAGCCCTCACGGTCCTTCCAGGAGCCCTTTCCCCTTCCCCCACCCCCAGGTACCAGGGTGCCCCACCCCCTGGGGGGGGGCTAGATGGGCGCGGGGCTGGAGTCTAGAAGTCAAAGGCAGCAGCAGCACGCAGATCAGCAGACTGTGGCCCACAGGCACCCACGGCCCCTGCCACCCCCAGAGGCCCCACTGTTGAGCGAGTGGGGCTCGGAGCTGCGCAGACTGGGGACAGAGCAGCGTCTCAAGAGTGTCGAGTGGAGTTCGCTGCCCTTCATGGGCACGAGCAGCTCCGGGGGCGCGGACTCCGACTCCAGCAGCGGCCAGCTGGCTGAGCGCTATCGTGTGCAGGTGACGGGACACCCCCCATGCACGCCAAGCCGAGACGAGCTAACGGAGGCCAGCTCCAGGAGCCTCAGCGGGGAAGTGCAGACACAGTCTGGAGGTGGGGCGCAGCAGCTTTCCCTAGTTACTACCCCCTGCAAGGCTGTGATCTCTGCCCAAAGCCCTAACAGCGCGTCCCCCAACAGCTTGGTATTCATGACCGCCCGGAGCAAGGTCGCTGAGGCCTCTCCAGTCTCATCCCTGGGGGTTAGGGTGGTCGTGGAGGGTACCTGATGCTGCCTGTGCACTCTGGCTGTCCAGCCCACCGCCCCGTACTTGGGAGTTACCCCTCTGCTTCCCTCAGCCTCCCGGGCCCAGCCTTCCTGCTCTGGATCTGAGCTCCAGAGCTCTGCCTTTCCCCAGTGCGCCAGTTTGGCCTCGCAGGAGATGTCCACAGTGCGTGCGGCGTACGGGGGGCCCCTTCCAACAGGTCTTTCCCTGGATCTCAGGATGGCCCAGCAGGACCAGCCAGGTAGGACAGTCCTGACCCTGACCGGGGAGCCCTGTGCAGCTCCTGAGCACCCGCATTCAGGGCGCCCCTGGAGGGTGCCCCTGAGGGGTGACCCGGCGGGGTCCTGGCAGGAGGGGGGTCTCCAACCAGGATGCACCAGAGGGGTGGCCAAGCTTCTCTGCGTAGTGCACCTACCCTCCTCACACCTCCCCCCAGCCCAGGGTGTTCCTGCCTGAAGATTGTGGCAGTCAGTGCCCGGGAGAGGTTCGTGCGTGTCCTCAACCAGTCGCTGGAGGAGACCGAGGACCTGGGTGGCCTCATGCTGCAGCAGCTGGAGCGCGGCTTTCCTGTGTGCATGTACCGCTTCCCGCCCCGCACGCTGCTGCCTCCGCGCCACCATGTCACAGTGTGTCCCCGCCCCCTGCCCCCCGCAACCCCGCGGTGGCCTCGGCTCAGGCCCGTACCGCTGCTCACCCAACCCCTGGCCATGTCCACCAGGTTTGGGGCGAGGGGCCCCGCAGCACCAAGAAGCACCTGCCCTCATCCTTGGGCCAGGAGCCTGTGCACTTCCACTCTAGCCGGGGCTGTGTGACTCTCCTCCTGAACCCCAAGGGCGAGGTCAGTGTGCATCCCAGCTGGAGGTGGGGTGGGAGTGAGCCCCGGTGGACAGGGGTGACCCCCGTGCCTCTCCCGGCCCGCCCGCAGGTCCTGAGCCAGCATCAGGCCGCCCACTGCGTGTCCCCCGCCTCGAGGATCTTCGCTGACAACACTGATTTGTCCATAGACCGCTTCCCGCTCTCAGAGGCCGGGCTGGTGGCCGACACCCGCACGCAGAGGCCCGGTCCTTGGCAGCTGCGGGCAGGCAGGGTGCAGGAGGCCCCAGCCAGACGGCAGAGGCCCAGGTGGGCTCCGCGGGTCCCTTGGTCTCCACTTCCTCCCAGGCCCCCCCCCTTGTAACACCCTAGACTCCCTGCTAAGGGCCGTACCCCACCTCAGGTCCAATCCCCTCTGGGGGCCGCTCCGCAGGCTGGTTCCTGGTCAGGACACCAACTGCCTCCCCAGGTCGCGGCCTCTCCAGGCTCCGCACCCCCCACCCGCCCCTTCCCGCAGGCGGGCTTCGGATCTCACGAGCCCCTCGCCCCACCAGGACGCGGGGCCTCTTCCCCCGGCTGAGCGCCAGCAAGACCTTCCGCCCGCGGGTGGTGCCAGCGCCGTCCGAGGCCGCCGAGACGCCGGCGCCGGAGCTCCTGCCCGCCATCCCCGGTGAGCGCGCGGTGCGCGGCGGGCGGCCCGGCGAGGAGGGGGGAGGCCGGCCGGACCCCACGCGGTCATTGTTCCCCGCAGAGACCGGGCTGCTCCTCGAGGACTGCCAGGCTAGGAAGGAGCCCAGGGTCCGGGTGAGTGCGTGCGCGCGCCCCGGCCCGCGCCCCTTGGACCCCTCCCGTTCCCGACCGTGCCCCCTCCTCCGCGCAGGCGCCCGCCCTGGCCCCGCGCCCCTCTGAGGCTCCGCGCCCCCAGGTTTGCTGCAAGGGCGTGGACCGGGACTGCCCGATGGTGGCGTTGTCGGTGCAGAGCGCGGCTGAGAGCAGATACGGCTTCCGCTTCCTCCCCTGCCCGCCGGTCACCGCCGCCAGGAGAGCGCGGCTGTAGGCGGGCTGTGCCGGGCGGGCGCCGGGGCCGAGGGGCGGCGCTGGGAGAGAGGCGGGGGAGGCGGGCCGAGCCGGCGGCAGCGTTTATTGAACCAACATCGCCTACGAAGTAAAGAGCGTTCATGTACACGTGACAGTCGAGAAGGGTTTGCTTGGGTTTGGGGTACCCTGCCCCAAGGGAAGGGAACTGGCTGCCCCAGGAACCGCGCAAATGACCCCCCCCACCCCGGGGATGGGAGGCCTGGCCGCACCCTGGCATCTGGAGAGGGCCTGCCAGAGAGCTGGTGGGCCTCGCTGGAAGGAGCCGGCAGCTGGGCCTGTGCTGGGGACCTGGGCTCTCTTAGCCTGGGCTCTTTCTTGTGCCTGCAGCTGGAGATCCCAACCCCCGACTCCCCTCCACCAAGAAGGGTCTCTCCTACCTCAAGCCCATTACCCATCCCCCAATACCCCCCCCAAGATGCTCTGTGTTCCATGAAGCCAGAGTTCACATGGGGCTCCCACAACCACATTGGGGCTCCTTGGCCCTTGGTGGAGGCCAGCTTGGCAGTGGATGAGGGTGTTACACTAGGGGTGGGATTGGGCTGGGGTGATAGGGTTCAGGTGCGGCAAGCACGGGAGGCCAGGGGGTCTCGCTGCTGGATCCGTTGCTGGCTTTGGGGCTGGACATCCTTGGGCTGGAGGGCTTGGGCCTGAGGTCACCTCCAGGGCTCTCAGAGCTGCAGTCACTGTAGCTAATCCCTGCCCTAGGCCAGGCCCTTGCCCTAGGCCAGGCCCTTGCCCCAGGCCAGGCCCTAAGCTACACAGGGCTCTGAGCCTCCGCCTCCGGGACTGCAGGCCCGTGGAGCCCCAGGAGCTGCTGCTAGAATCAGAAGGCATGGGCATCTTGGGGGGAGAGGGCATCAGGTTATAGCCCAAGGTCCTGGAAGGCTCTGGAGAACAAGGAAAGACAGCTTGTCAGACAAGGGACCCCATAGGGATCACTAGGTGTGGTGGGGGTCACCACAGGCAAGGTGGCAGTGTCCACGTGGCTCTGCCCCCTAGGCCGCCCCCCGCCCCCCTGCAAGGCAGCATCCCTCTCTCCCACTTCCTCTGCTTCCCTGGGAAGCTGTGTCTCTGCAGCCCTGTGACAGCTGATAGTTGCTGGGGATGCAGAGGCCACAAAACCTGGGTTCTGGTTTTGGGTCACTGGATCCCAGCCCCAAGGGTGTGTCCCCGGGCCAGGTTCTAAGCCTCTCTATAGAGTGAGCCCCTGGTACCTCCCTCTGCCTCTGCAATGCCGGGCAAACTGGACGGTATAGCCATGGTCGCCCTGTGCCTACTTGGACCCGGCCTGGAGCGGGAGGCTCTGGTACATTTTTTCCCTGAGTCCCCACTGTCTGTCATCACTCCTCCATCTGGCTGCCCTGCCTGTTCTCCCTCAAGGGCCCCCCCAGCCCCCATAACTGACAGTGCTTGACTAGCTGGTCTCAGGGCCCACCCTCTCTGGCCCCTCCCCCCAGGCACCTGCCAGCACATGGAAGCCGGAGGCTTTGTCTGTCGTGTCCCTGTTCCATCCTGGCCCTTTTGACTCCCCACCACAAAGGAGGGCCATTCAGCCAAAGCCCCTGCTTACAAGGCCTCTTCCCAGGCGTGCCCACTCAGTTCTAGCAGTCAATCCTGACCCTTCTTTTGGGAAGCCTCCACAGGCTTGCGGTCCTTCCTGTGTTTGTCCCATTCAGCCATGGTCTGTCTGGAGTCAGTGTTCTGAGCCCAGCACAGGCCCCGGGAGCAGGATAAGGGCAGCACCCTCCCCACTATAGTCTCCTGGCTCATCTGGTGGCCTCTCTCTGCATTGGCCTGTGCCCGGCTCCCTGCCCAGTGGGCCTGTCCTGGCCACTCATTGCCACCCTGCCCTCTTCCGGTCCAGACTCCCCGCTCACACCCCCCCGTGACCCCGTGGGCTCAGGGAGGAGGACTTGGGGCTGGAAGCTCTTGAGTGTAAGCAGTGCTCCCCTCAGGAGAGGACTGCCCTGTTACAGCCACTATCCGAGTCCCGCTGGAGAAGGGGGCCCAAGCTGATGAATGCTGGTGTGGGGCAGTGTGTGGGGTCACTCGATACCTGGGACCGGGCACAGGGTGCCGGAGGGAGTCTTGGGCCTAGACTTGTCCTTCCGTGGGCCACGGGGGGCTACGGCACCTTCCCGCTGGGGCTCCAGGGACCTACCAGGGAGGGGGCTAGAGTGGGGGAAGGGGGCTGCAGCCCTGCCATTAGAGCCCGTCCCAGATGAGTGTGCCCCTGGGCTGATCCCCCAACCTCAGGCTCCCGTGGCCCACTCCTCCCGCCCACCTGGTACCCAGGCTGTCCCCGGCCACGACCTCCCACCGCACAGGACATGTGACGGTGGGTCTCGACTGTGGTGGGGGGCTACCCACCGCGGGCGCAGCTCCCTGCAGGCCGGAAGCCCAGCCAAGGCCGGGGATTCACTGCTCTCCATAGGATCGGGCCCTGGGCTGGGGACACCGGCAGCTGGGTCCTGCAGTCTGGGTGGGCGCAGCTGCTCTGGAACCAGCCAGGCCTGGCAAGAGGGGGGGCTGGCTTGGGTCACACCTTCAAGGGGGCTGGGCGGGGATCCCCTGAAGACAGAAGGGCTGGCTTGGGTCACACCTTCAAGGGGGCTGGGCGGGGATCCCCTGAAGACAGAAGGGCTGGCTTGGGTCACACCTTCAAGGGGGCTGGGCGGGGAATCCCCTGAAGACAGAAGGGCTGGCTTGGGTCACACCTTCAAGGGGGCTG